TTCGAGGGCGAACAAATTTGGCAGTGAATTCGATAGGTAGGAAGAAAACAGGAAACGAACGGAGATATATTTGCGGATTCTTTGAGAGGTAGAAAGAGAAACGGGTAACGGAAGCGATGGGTGGGTTAACACACTAACAAAGTCCAAAATGTTTTTCCTCTACTGGACCGTCGAGTGCTCAATATCTATGCTAATCCGGTCTACCGCTTCTTCGGTGCACGCTACCACACTTTTCAGCGTCACTCGTACTCCTTATCGTTTCCTCTTCTTACTTTACGTTTCGCCCTTTCCCTCCTGCCTGGCTTTTGTCTCTGTATAGTTAAGCAAACAGCAAGACGAAAGGCGATTTCGCGAGCAAGGAATCGATGGATCGATTCTAACGAAAGGGCCGAAAGGTCAAGAGGTGCGCAATGAAAATACTTTTATCAATCTCGCGTACACTTAACGAGTCTTACAACTTCTACAACCGTTTAAACAATTTGCCCTTGTCAAACATCGCACGCTATTACGAATATGATTACACGCGAATAATTTTCTAGAAAAACGGAACAGCAACCCTTTCGAACGTTTCATATCAATTTCAGCATCCTGTTATCGTAATTTCTCGAGCGTTAGAAGAAACCAGCAACACGTTATACCTTACTATTTACCGTATCGATCCGGCTTTCTTTTCCGCGTAAACGTTTACTTTTCACCAACGGATGTTATTACACGGCTTGCACAAACGTTCCTCTATTTGTGTTATGTATCACGGAATTACAGACCGTCTCTATCCCCAAAAAACCGAATTCGATGAAATCTTTCAGCTTAAAAGGTAAATCCTGATCGTATACCAATAGAAGGAGAACCGAATAGAATTTCTTCGCGAAACTAACAATCGATCCTCGAACAGTTGTGGGAGTAAGCTAAAAAGCAAGCGATCAGAGTCGAACGCGATATCGACCAGCTGCGTTCGAATATTTCAATGTTTGCACTCGCCATCGACTGGATTTCACTATTCTCTATTCTCTGTTCTATGCCTCTGCCTATGCTTCATCTATCGGCCCCCCTTACAGAGAGCTGCATTAGTTCTAATCTAATCTTCGATTCAGCATTTCCGTTATTACTGTCAGCGGTACAATGGAAGGCTGATTAAAGCCGTGCTCTTGATGTTCGCTTTCGAAATTGGTGCGAATCGCTACCACGCTCTACGTGGAACACACATACAATTGCAATATCACGAGGAAAGTAATGGAAGAAGAACAATAGGAGAAAAAAATGTCCAATTTTCGCTACGCGAATCGCTACGAAGTGCCCCCGTTGCGCCAGCGTAACGTTTATAATCGAATAATTCAAACAATTCGGATAATCAAAAATAACTCTCCCTCGTAAATGTTTCGATCTCTGATTTCTATCTAACCGATTGCCACGAGTTTCCAAAAACGTTGAATCCCGCGCGTTTCGAATTTCATACGGATGGATATCCGGCAGTAATCGCAAAGTGGAATTGCACCCTCCGTTCCGCCTCTCTCTCTCTCTTCGTCCTTATTTTCCTTTCGCCAAGCAGAGAGAGAGAGAGAGAGAGAGGGTTGCTGATCGTTAGCGCGGATGGTCAGCAAATCATTAACGCGATTACGCGTTGTAGCACAAATGTGTGTAAAATTTAGCACGTTCGAGCGAACCGAGAGACATCGAAACGAGAAAAAAAAAAACGGATGCGGGATAAACGAGATCTTTATTTTATCCGATCGCGGGAAACGAATCGATGTCAAAAACGCTACAAGAGGTTGCGAATTGTGAAAGCAATCGTGTACTTCCTTCCGAAGCAGGGTTGATCGATAACAACGTTTCTTCCCTTTGTCCGATTTTCCTTGCGCCTTCAGAATTACTACCAATACGAACGTATAATAGAATTTGACCGATACCACGGGTAGCTTTCAAAACGGCTAATTAAATTGCAAGGTATCCGATATCGTTTGTTAACGCAGCTAACGAACAGAGTCGTTACTTTACAACTCTCGCACAGGCCGCTAATCAATTATCGACTGTCAGGGTAGATATAATTATCTACCGTCACGAAGCACCGAAATCGTTGCTAAACGTAATATCGATTGCTAAAATAGAACGCAAGAATGCATAAAGTTGCGTTAATTAAAGGGAAAACATGTAACGGCGCGACGCGGTGTCGCGTGTATCGTGTACACGTGTACAACGAAGAAGAATCAGGATTCTCCGGGAAATTGAACGATCCACTTTACGTATAAGCGAGAATCTCGTTTCGAAGTAATTCCGCCCGCTGGCAGTCCGATTAACGTTTTAATCCGATTCCCAAAGTTTACACAAACTCGCGTAGGATCGTCGCGAAGAAAAGCTCGAGATTCGGTAATACGACAGAAATTTTCCGTCGAGAGGTCTGGATTTCCGCCTTGCCGGCAAGTCTCAGTCTTAGTGTCGCGGCTAATTAATCCGCTAAATTAGTAGGTCGGAGAATGAGCGTTCAGCAGAGCGTAGAGAGACCACGAGGCGACGGGGGAGCGCCAAAAAGGCCGCGGCGTCGCGTCGCTTTACCCGACTCTGTCTCGTTCTCTCAAACTCGAAAAGCCAAGCTGATACGAGGCTGACGAGGGTTGTTGCGGTAGTCGGTGCCGTTCGCGCTGCATACACCCCCGCACTGCGAACGCCCGGGATCATTTGCGTTGGCGAATCTCGTGAAAACGCATAACTAAATAAATGCGAGCTTGCACGTTTTGCTCTCTGTACACGAACGCGTCGCGTTGCCCTTTGCGTACCTCGGTCAAACGCAATAATGCCCTGTAATGGAACAACGTTGTTTCCGTCGCTTCTGGACACGTTTCCGGCGAACGCGCGACGGAAGCTGGCTGGCTATAGCATTCCAACGGAGCTAGAACGAGCGGCATAGCTACCGAGAAAGGAGAGACGGCCTGTCTCTGACCGGTATATACCCTGAGCTTAGGCTTGTTTAACCCCGATTTCGTAGCACTGTACGTGCCATGACGTCACCTGCGTTCAACACCCTCGCGTGGTCATCGATCTGCCACCACCACCCCTTACACCCTCGGACGATGAAGGCGTAACACGAGCCACCGAGCATTTATTCCGACCGAGCACCGGAATGGATACGCTGCACGCTCTTTCCTCTTTCTGTCCGTTTCTCGACTTTCCTTCCGTTTTACCCGTACCCGTTTGAATTTCGTTTGGTTTCTACGTGACGCGCTTACTCTATTTCAAGGACCACCAACCCTTTCGTTTCAAGAGAAGACGCACGGATTAGTTATTCTTATTATTACCGATAACCGAAACGTCGAACGTTTCACGATAACGTGAAATACCTGTGCGTTACAGTCGGAACAATGAATTGGTTTAAAAAAAAAAAAAATGGAAAAGAGAAAAACGGTTTCCACTACCGACGATCTCGGACAACATCTCGATTCCCTCGGGTGCTTCGCTGAAAAGACTACTCGCAGTTTCGCGCGAAACTTTCTTCTTTCGTTTCTGTCTCGAAACTTGGCCGAACTCGTGGAACAACGTTACACAAACTGCTTGGAAAAAGTTTGACCTCTCGATCGCGCGTGGCTACAGATAAACACACACGGATGCGTTTACATTGAATCCGTTGGTAAGTTCGCTGCCAGTATACGTGTTATTGACAATTTGTTTCGAGGATACGCAAAGCACGAAGACCTAATCTTTGATATTCTTTCGATTTCGATTTCTATTTCCATTTCAATTTCGAGCCAAGCTTTCTCATCGTATTACCCTGCACCGGTTACCATCTTTGATTTCATTCGACGGCGGAAACGAACTTAAGTAAATTCGTTTCGCGAGCACGTGTCCCGATTATTTCATCGATACAAAGAATCGTTAATCTATGTCAGATATGCCATTACGAATTCCTAACGAGCTTCCAATCCTTGATTCGTTTACCGAAATGAACATTTTTTAAAACCACCCTTTAATCGTTCCGTTCCTTCTGTCGCTCTCGTACACCACCGGAATCTGTCAGCAACTACGCCGAAATTCCTTATCGGTAAAACATTCAACCCATCCTCTTAATCGAATATTCTTGTCGAATTCTCCATTCCCTTGTAGCGAGTTACGATCAATCGATTCGAACCAACTAACTTGATTTCACTTTGGACGAAGGAAGGGCTGAAGGAATGACAATAAACAGTTCGAAGGGACATGTAGAGTAACGCATTGGTAAGAGATCGAAGAGTACTTTCCGACGATTGGAACGGCAACAACGTAGGAAATTAGTTCGAAGGCAATTACTCGGCGTACACGCGTAAATCCCTTCCGATATGATTACTGGAACGGAATAGCGGCCATTTCAAGATGGAATTGCCTCGAGCAGTGTTCAGATACAAATCTTCCGACAGGCAATAGGACTCGCCGCATACGGCATATAGCACACAGCACACGGTACACAACATACAGCGTATAGCATACAGTACAGAGGGTGTAAACGCATAGTGGCACGCGTTCGTAGCACACGCACCTGGAATACGTCTGATACGGGCGATACGCGTGCGTTTGATGGCTCGAGAAAATGGAGCAAAATCGCTCGGAAGCGATACGGATCGTGCAAACGAGAGGAAAGAAAGAGAAAAAACCAAAGGTGGAAAAGGAATCGAGTAAAACGGTTCGAGAAGAGTTTCAAGAACCGTTTGAGATTAAGAATCGCGACGGTAACTCGTTCGTAATCGCATCCGAGCTTCTACGATCGATTTACGTCAAACTTCCACTAACGCTCCGTGCCTTAGCCAAAGATTTATCCCGTGGGAAATCAGTTAGTTTCCTTGGTTCGAACGAAATTCGTGGCGATCGGAGAAGGCAGGGCGGCCTTCTCTAACAGCTAGAATAATCGCTCACCGAACCGTTAAGCTTGATAGCCGATAGTCTACCGAATTTATTCTTACGCTTTACTCCATTCCATACCAAACAACATCTAATTTTTCTGTTTATTGCGATTTATGATACAATTATCAGTATCTTCCTACCTTGTTGATGCTATATGTCGAAGCTGGCGCCTCCAGTTGCAGCTTCCGGATCGCTAGCAGCCAAGGTAACAGTTGACAGTGTTCATTTCCACAGGCAGATTGATATCCTATCGATAGAAATCCATTACAGTCTCTTCAATAATGCACACAAACACTTATTTCGCGTCAAATTATTAATTAATTTGTCAAAAATTAGATAATTTACGTCAGAAATCGGTGAACGATCTATCACGTTCGGTATTACAATGCGAACTAACAGCCGATCTGAAATTCGGGTCGCTTCGGTTCGATTCGGACCGATTCGTAAAGCAGGTGAAACATTCCACACGGTATGGAAACAAAATCTCATACCTATGCCAATGTTTACAAGCGCGTCTTTCGGCGGATCGACGACGGATAATACACGCGTATTTCGACAAACAGATTTAATGCGTAAGTATTCTTTTCAAATATAATAATTCAGACAGAACGCGCTACGAACAAACGTCTGAAAGCGTTCGTTGCACTACCTGGCGCGGTAAAAAAGTTTTGTAAAGTAATCAGAAACATGGAAAGAGACTGCTACGCTACACACACATTTATACGAGTTTGAAACTCCGCCCCCGTAACTTTGCTACCCTTCCGTTATATCGTAGTCGACGACCGAGAACGAAAACGCATCTACAGAGCTTTAAAGTTTTTGGAATTATACTCTCACGGTTCCTACAAATTATTGATCTAACTTACTTACAGGACCGAGTACAGTCGTTAATTTTTGCCCTACGATATTTCCTATTATTATATAGTTTCTTTCCACGAAACGAGCGCGAATAATGATTCAAAGTCGAACGAATAGAAAGGAGAAAAGAAGCGGAAGAGAAGAATAAGGTAGGAAGGTAGCGTCTAGAAATTATTGACGCTAATTAAACAAGGTATGCGAGACTGAAATCGAAGCAGTAAGTCGCCAAAGTTCGTTCGAGAGTTCGTTAAGGAAGTTATGCGCTTTCGTATGGCAGTGGATAACCAAACTTACGTAACGACTCTTAACGTGATGGTCTTCATATACGGGACGCAAAGTTCTAGACTTGAGAAATACATATTCCACGATGCTCACAATTTGTTGCACGAAACATCCGACATGCGTCATAAACTTAAACACGCGGCTTTCATTAAAATTTCCCGTCCTACTTTGAGTTTTCTCCACGACACGAAATGTAATATACTTTTCCATGGAATGTTCCAGTGAAACAGTTAAATGTTTATGAAAAAATTCAAAATTGCAAAGTGCTATTTCAAACGACAAACATTTGGTACTAACAATACTTTACAATAAGAATACGTCAAACATTCTTATAAAAATCTCATGTTTTACTAAATACGTCGCAGTATCATTAACGCTATGGAGTAGCCATCTAGCGACCGAAATGCTACTCCTTTTACAACTAAACGGTATAAGTTTTAGGTTAATAACCCTTTTCCTCTTAAAAATGATATATCGGTTTATACTTTCGCTTAAAACAAATAAATTTAATACTACTTTTGCATAAATATTGTTACTCACCCCTTTGTTTGAAGTTTTAAAATGGTGAATCTTTCAAATCGTACAAGTGACGCCATCATCCGATGAGACGCCTACAAAATTCAATCGAATACAAAACGAAAATTGATTATTTTGAAGTAATATTTCGTAGTTCAAATGATAGTATTACAAACCTGAGTGTTAATGGAACTCGCAGGCACATTTTTACCACTTAACAATTAGTTTATTAATTATTAACACTGTTTAAACTAAGAGCGTTACACGAGCGCGGGATCACTTTCACCACCTGGTGACGAAAATTGGAACTAACGAACGAGGGCGTGGCTCGGTAGTACAGCATCGTGCTGTACTACAGCGAACTTCACAGTGGTGCCACCGTCGACCGACGCCTCCACGTTTCCGCTTTTACCGATTAACTGAAATTGATTTAACATTTCCGTGTATCAAATTACATTGAATTATTCAACAATACTAAGCTACAACGACTGAGGAATCATGTAAGCTAACTTTTATCCACACTGCCCTATTCAATGTCTAGTTATTAGCAATTATTTCGCTCATGCAGTTCACGGTAACATTTGCAATAGAAAAATCAAATTATCTTATATTATTTTATAACATTTTATAACGACTGAGGTAGTATGTTCTATAAACAGTTACGATACTTACAGGGGAATATTTAATTTTACCAATGTAATGTTTAACCAAACTACGCGTCTTATCCAACCGCCATTATTTCGTGTAGTAGATGGCAGGACAATTCAGTTTGAATGTAGCGTTACTGTGGATCAACAGGAAACATGCATGGTGGCATGCCTGTTTGATTTTCATGTTCAGTTTATTCTGATGTTGACAATTGAAATTTATTGTATAATTTAAAGTTATTTAAATAACGATCGTGTTTCCGTGTCCACAAATTTTAAATACAGTCTTTGAAAAGAATCAGGTATCATATTTTTGTAGAACATGACGAGCTCGTAGCTTAGGAATCAAATAAATTTAAGTATCGATTATGATTTACATAGATATATATAAAAAAGGATATTAGATATAAATATTAAAGCATTCTTGCATAGAGTTTGTAAAGGAAAGGAATCGGGTTTCGTTTCACGTGGGCTGCCGGCCATGTTTGTAAATTCGCGCCACTTCCCAAGTGAGGAACTCTAAACCAATATGGCCGCGTAGTACCAACACCGCTATGGCGACGTTCTTGTCAGTTTCCTAATTATTGCCTTTTTTACATATTTTACACAAGCTTTTTTAAGACCAGTGTGTGAAAAGTAGATACAGTGTACATTGATTGAAAATGTAACGTTAGAAACGATACATTAATGTTTAACTGTTCGACGTAACAACGATAATTGTGGTGAGTGTTTTACATAATCGTTTCTCCTACCTTGTCATGGTCGTCTTCCAAACAAGGGGCCAATCAATTTGTTTACATCGTGTGTTGAATTGGCTATAAACCAGCACTAGGACGTTGAACTTTGTAATAGATGACTGCAATCGCGCATTAATTATAAAGATTATATAAAACGTGCTAAGATAAGCATGCGTCCCCTGCCAATTAAACGCGTCAGTACATATAACCTCTCGCGTCCCATAACATTCTCGCTTGTGTTTTCGTACAATTTTCATTCTTCCTTTTGTTACTCGCATCTGTTTAATTTCCTTCTTAATCATTCTTGATACCTAGCCTTGATTTTAATTCGGTTTTTACTATTTACGTTTCGTTTGTACACGCTTCTCTGCTTCTCGAGCTGACTAAAAGAAAGGTATCGATTTTGTAATACTCCTAAACAGTCGTATTATTTTACGTCAAACGCATTGAGAATCATATTGCGTTCATTTATCGATATGTCTTTGATAAATATTTAAGATTAGATCGACGTATCTAACTCCTCTACAGTAATTGTTTGCTTCTGCACTCATGATTACTTCTAAGTAATCGTGTTCGAGTAATAAATGAAAAATTAAGTCGTATATCTATTTTATTTAATGTAAATTTATTTATTAGCTCTGTTTTAATAGTATAAACAATGTAACCCGCCATCTCCATTCTTTTTTCTTAACACTTGTTATTTAATTGCGAATCATTTTATGTCCCTTATTTTTGTACCTTAAATTAACAATTTACATTGATTCTTTGAAGAAAACTAATGTGTTTTTTTTTCGTTTGCTTTCAGGGTGAGCTCAGAAAGGATTGAACCGAGAGAAGGCAGGTGTGTACCGACAGAGCCATCCCAAGAGGGAATGCGCAAAAACATTCAAACATTTACAGCAGACAAACGTATGTTTATTTTGATTTTTCTTCATTTATCTTTGATTTTCGTATTCAGTAACGTACATTTACGAAATGTAAACATTCACGGTTTGAAGCACACGTGTTTCCACAATGAAACGGGCAGTTTCGCGTTATCAGCTCCTAACTTATCCTCCAATAGGAATTATTAACTTCCTTGTTTACTTTTTGAAAATATACAGCGTTTCGTTAGTACAATTAGTTACCATTCCCTTACATTAATTGTTACTGAAAATCGACAATGTAGTAACGTCGTTCGGTACTGATAACAGAAAATTTATTACCTAGCATAAATTATATATATATATTAACACTGTGATAAAGTATCAATTATCTGTCCTGAACTTTGAAATTATTACCGACAATGAGACATTTGTGTTTCAATCTTGCTTTTCGTATATGATGTTACTGAATTGTTTCCATTTTTGCCATTATAAACATTGGACAAAACAGGATATAATAGAATCTCGATTCTGAACATTCGTCGCGCGTATAGTGTAAAAGATAAAACAGGAAAGATTACTCTGTTCCTAAGTTTGTTTCATAATTTTACACCATTTCATTCGTTTAAATTGTCGAGCTTCTATTGAAATTATTTATCAGTATACAAATGTGTGCTACGTTTCTATATAATATACCAAGCACGCACACATGGTTATTATCGATAATTTATAGGAACACTGTTTTATTTTATTTTATTTTATACGACACTGATTTCACATGTTTTCCTGAGATAAATATTTAATGCGTAAAATCCACAGTTTAGTCGTTACTCTCGCGAATCAGTTTTCATTGTGCATGCGTGTACAATTTTGAATAGAGTGCACAATATTGCACCTCCGATATTTTGAAAATATCCATTTTTCAAACGCAACTATATTGCTTTCACATTTGTTCGTTCACAAGCACTTTTATTGATATTATTTTCAATACTTTTAATCTTTCAACATCCATTGAATTTTTATTTGTCTGTTTCACATGTCGCAATTTAATTCAACTGCGATTTATAGTCACCGATAAGTGCACATCTTTTTAATAATGTGAACGAATTTATGTTACCTATAGGTCGGTGGTTCTCGAACAATGCGATTTACATAATAGTTTACTCGTGATTTCTTAATGTTATCGTTCGAAAGTATTTCTGGTTTTATGCATTTCTTATCGCACCTGATCTTCGGTTTATAAATAATGTTCCGGACATGGAAATCAAATACATATATTTATTTTGTACCATCTTTAACGACTGTTGAACCATCTTGTTTGATTATCGTATAAAACGCAAGAAACGAAGGTAAGTCTGTTAGAAACACCTGTACAGGTGCGTTACCGACTTGTCCGAGTCGTGTTACCGACTGTAGCATAGCACCCTGCAGATGAAATCGCCTCTTTATCAACGGTAAATTCGCACCCTAGTCTCGGACTGGGTGGATGGAGAATCTTGCGAGAGTGCATTTACTTATCATACCGTTCGTTGCACTTGGTGCTCTCCTCCTTGGGCATCGGTGTTATCAGTAGTAGCATTGTCGGTAGAAAAAGAAACACCCTGCCAGGGCGTAGAACTGTAAGAAAGATCCAGATGCGAATTAATTAAGCGATAAAGGAGAAACACGATCGAGGAATGAAAATAATGACGTACCTGTTATTTCATCGTTTGTACCAAACAGGTAGCACCTGTGTCGTGCACAGGTAACTCTGTTTACTCGTCGAATAAAAACGGGACGAACGTTTCCAAGTATGTAAATTACAAAACGCGTTTGAGTATAATCAAACGAAGGGGAGTAAATGAGGTACACCTGAAAACAGAAGCAAAACCATCACTCCTATCGATTAGTTGTACTTTCTACGTAGTACGTAGAGAGTTTGTGTAAAGTTAACGCACGAACAGTTTCTAATGTATCGAGCAGAAGGTTACGCTTACTTTATGTGTACGGGTAGAATAAGAGCAAGGTGGAAAAGCGGGAATCAAAGGCAAGCTTTGTGACTCGTGGTTGGTTCGTGTTAGCTTACACGCGAGCAAACTTCCGATCACGCGCGGCTCCTGTATTATTTTTAATCACTCGATATCTTAGCTAAATGACTGTGTGAGTTTCGAGCGAATGCAACCACTTCGGGGTATTTGGTTACCATTTGTTCTCGTTCATTTTTATGCAACTCCCATTTTCTCTAGACCCTAGAGAAAGATAATTTTATCCCTTCCAGGAACTCGTGCTAATTTATCGAAGGTTTTAATTGAGAAATGTATACCGTCGTCCATTCAACGTTTGCGTTCTAATTATTGTGGGTGTTGTTGGAATTGGTCGGTAATATAGCAAAGATAGGACGGTAATATAGAGGGTGAAAGGGGGTAGTAAAGTTAACTGACCGCAAAAGCGACGGTAAGCTTTTTTATTACCTCCTCCTTTTTCGTGGGGACCCATTCGTTCATTAGTCTCGAGCTGTCCAACGCGTTCGCTGGCCTCTTAGTTTCCACGGACCCTGTCCTCTTTCGTCTATCTTTTCTTCTTGTTACAACGTCCGATATTCTATAAAAGTACCGAGCTGTATTTTATATTTTACGATACGACGCGTTACTTTATTTTGTCGGAGGGGTAAAAACTTGGAGCACAATCAAATCGCGAAGAAGCTTTCGAATTAAGGTCAAGTCATAAAAATCAGCGTTACAGATGTCGAACGATACGGTTACAGGTAACATCCGGGTTCGTTAAAAACGTCGTTACAAATGTTAAGACTTACTGACACGAGTCGTAACGAAGGGAGGAAACGATGCACGAAAAGAAAAAGTTTCAGAAAATAAATCAGTGTTTCGAGAGGGTGCGGTAACAGTGACGCGTTTGTTGGTAGTGGTTTAATGACTTTAATGACCCCGCGATTACGTCGACCACAGTCACGGCGGGTTAACAGGCGATAAAACAAAATGTAGATACGACTGGTGGTAACATGCGACAGCGTGTTCTCGCCGGACGATTGTGTACAACCCTTAATTTGTTTCTCTTTTCGGTACACCCTTGTTCGTATTCTTTTCATATTTATCTTGGCAGAGTCGTACAGTACCGAGTAGATAAGCGAAAGTGTTGCAAGGTAGAAACGATGATGAAGGATAGCCCATCTTGTTCTATGTTGCAGAGCGTTGTATCCCTCATAGACTAATATATGCCCCAAGGCGGCAGTTCTCACTGCTAGTTGTATGCATTTAATTACGTAATGTCAAGTACACGTAGTAGCTAAATAAACGTGCGTGGAAGGAGGGGGTGGAACTAGAGAGTAGTAGGAAGTCGGGGCTGGGAATAAAGAGAAGGGGGTTTATGCTCATAGATCTTTTAGGGAAACGCCAGGAGATCCGAAATACGTACGCTTGCGAATTGCGGTAGAAGGTGAACCGAGCTATGGTGTAACTACTGCCCGAGGCTGATGCTTCAGTGCCGGCTTCGGGTCTCGGTTTGCCAAGTAATCCCACTCGCTTACCTTCCCTGGCCCCATCGTTTTCA